ATTCTTGAGCAGCTAGGTCGTGTTTAGTGCTGGATAGCTTACATGTGGCACAGTGTAAGACCGGTTTGTTACCTGCTGCCTTGGCTTTGGCTTTGTAGAGGTCCCACAAGCCGCGCTTGTCTAGGACACATCGAATGCCTTTCCTTTTCCCAGCAAGATTTGGATTCAAATGGTCAGCTGGATAGACCATGGACTGAGGAAGTCCTTGTCTTTCGAGAGGGATTCTAGGGTCATCGGTCGGGATCTCAGTATCTTGTAAAGGTGATTTCTTACCCCCAGGGCCAAGGTTCATGTTCGAGACTTGGAGAGCTGAGGGTCCGTAAGATTCATGCGCAGAAGAACAGTCAAAGATAAAAACGCCCTGTGCGTTGGGAAAAAGATACTCGAAGATAGGAATTGCTCGTGTTTGGACTTGCTCGATTAGCTGCATACAATCCCACCAGGGATCACCTTTGCTTCCAGGGTAAGTAACCACTGCAGCATCGGTAAATGAAGGCAAAGGGAATCTGTTGTGTTCCTCTTCGGAAGTTATTTCCAGTCGGCCAGTCTTCGTGGCTGGCGTAATCCAATCTGAATCGTGAATTAATCGTCCATCGCTCTTCTTACGCAGCTCTTGAGTGTTGTCTTTGACCCAGGCTCGCTTTGGACGTTTGTTAGCGTGCACCGTTGACTTGTTGTGATAGAGAAAAATTGTTTCCTTCTGGTCTTGAAGAAGAATAGGATCTGGAGCAATTGAGAGCTCCAGGTCTTCACCATGATAAACTCGAGAGCGCTTCTGAAGGTCGGCTATAATATCTAGATACTTGTGGCGGTATGCAACAACGTCTGCTTGTTCATGGCCGTCAAAATAGAGTCCTTTACTGTACTCGCGTGCCCAAAACCCCAAGGAATGAAGCCATCAATTGGCTGTGTTGAGACAGATTGTGCATTTGATGCCATGATCAGGGAGCGCAACAGAGTTGACGTGGTGAAGCAGTGATAGAGGGGTGAGCTGATACAGTATTAAAATGATCATGTCATATCAGTGTGTTTTCAAGAAAAAAAATTAGAAAGAGAACGATAGAGGATGAAAATAAACATACCTCTCCAGGCCTTTTAGATATCGCCCAAGATTGATTTGAGTTATAAAGCTTGCCATCATCAAGCATTGATGAATGGTGTGAGGCAAATCCATGCTGAATAATGATTAACTCCTTGAATTTTGAGACATGGACGGCTTGCTGTTGGATTTTCTTTGCATGACAGACTCCTGTGGTTGGTTTGGTGGAAAGCTTTTGATTTGAGGCTCGTCTGCGAATCGATGAGGCTGCAGTTAAGATTGAAGCAGTGACAGCTGGATCTTTTTCACCGTTGATAGTAAGTTCAAATTGTTGTAAATTGTACTCTCGAAGGTCTTCAATGATAGAGATCAGGACTTTGAAATGTGGATCTGATTTGGCTTTTTCACGGGACTTATCTTCGATAAATTTGATGTCTGAATCTAAGCTGTTATATTGATCCTGAGCTGCTTGTCTGATTTTCTGAGGGAGCGAGAGTTTGGTCTTGGTAGATCGATAACGTTCAACGCATTCTTCAATCCAGGTATCTGATACAACTACATTCAAATCATTTCTATCATTTTCGAGTTCATTTTCGATTTCATTTTCATTTTCATTTTCATTTTCAATTTTGTTTTCTTTTTCATTTTGATCATCAATGTTGTTGTTATCATTTGATTCAGATGAGACATTTCCATCATTAGAATTGTTGTTATCAAAGGTTTCAAAGGTATCAGATGAAGTTAATCCGGGGGATGTGACAAGAGCTGGAGTTGGATGATGAATAATCCAGCGGTCAAGCATGTTGTTTGACTTGCCAAGAGCCTTTTCTTGGTTGATTTTATATTGTTGTCGTGTTTCTTTTGGTATCTTTTGTGGTACAAGTTTATTTGAGGTAATCTGAGCACATGGCCTCTTATAGCCTTTGAGGATAAGACCTTCCTTGGTTTTGCGTTTACCAAGAGTTGGTGGATCAATGAAAGGGCGAGTAAAAACTGGGAATAAAGCATCATTGACGAGTTCATTATCACAAGCTTCGTCGTCAGAAGAATTGGCAATATTGGCTTGAGCGTAGAGTGAGATGTCTAAAGGATCCATCTCATCCTCCTCAGTTAAATAATTAGGATCAATCGGCATCCAGTAGAACTCAGATGGTTGAAGTATAGCTGAATGAGGAGGCCGGGGGGTTTGAGAATGCTCGACTTCAGAATCAGACTTGTCGAGGTGATTCATGTTTGAAATTCGAGTTGGGAAATTCTCTGGAACAGGGGCTTTGTTTAAAGTGATTTGAACATCAGAATCAACAGTGATTTGTTGATCTTCCGTATCAGAGATGACCACAATGTTACGGAGTTTGGCGGTGCGAACGTTCTTCCAACGTCGTGATTGAGATCGTGAAGGTTTGCTCTTCTTGGCCATATCGATGATGAGTGCATAAATGAAAGGAAAGCGGGGATATGTATGTACAGTCAATTTCACAAAGCTTGGAAAGAATTCCACGCCAATTTGCCCAAGTTTGGCGGGCAAAAGTTTCCAAGCTTTCTGCAATCGACTGTATGTATGTATGTAGGGAAAAGGGTGGAAAGGATGAGTGTAGAACGGAGAAAGACAAACTTTGTCAAAAAAAAAACCTCGGCGAAAAACTTTTTTGGGTATTACTGGGACCCCTAACATTTGGGTCCCGTGGCCGGGGCCGGGGCCGGGCTCTGGTCGTGACTAGACTGGAGCAACTGTACAAGTGAAGGGAAGAGTGAGAAATCTGGGATGTACGGAGGTGCGCGAATACGTCTGGACTTGGACAGGGGTGACGCTTTTGGACGTGGGAAATAAAAATTTCAAAATATACAAATATCAATTCCAATTATGTGTGACTGTGCGTGGCTCGCACTCTCATTTTGAGAGCCGGCTCTCTGCTTGCACAGGCCTTCAATTCTTCTGAGACTGCGTGAGAAGCAGCGTATCAAAGCAGCGTGGGACCCTTGGCTAAGTTTAGCAGCGTATGTTTCTTCACAGTGATCTCAACAAAAATCCCGGACAGGCTTCCAGAACCATCCGAGGCCGAGGAAGTTTACCCCGTGGTGTACAGTGGGTAAACCCGAGTACGTGTTCCGACCTGCCCTGCAAAATCAAATTTCACCTTTCGGGTCAATGTCGGGGCACTCAATTTGAATGTTTGAGACTGGCACCCAGACCATTGAAAAGGCATTGCTTTGATGAATCTAGGAATATGGTTTTGGAGACCAAAAATATGATTTTACTCTTTTAGAGGTTTGGATTTTCGGACCTAGGCCTCAATTAGGTACCTATCTAGCTACTTAGCGGCGCACTAGGCCTATAATTTAATGAATATGGCTGCTCAAGTGGCAAATAACAACCAAATTTGCTTTTTTTTCAAAAAAAACCAAAAGTTTTGCAGCCTAAGAGCATCTCCAACGCGACTCTGTAAACGTAAGTTTAACGTAGCCATTTAGACATAAACGTAAGCTGTAATTTACGTTTAGCGGTTTGGCCACAAAAACCAACCTCCAGCGCGCACATGATTTGTCACAAGTTGCCATGTGTGTGATCCCTCGTTTTCAGCTTCGCGGTTCTCTCGTGTCAAGTTCTCGAAATCGCTAGGAAAAATTTGACATTTGGAGAATGACAGAGGAATGACAGAGTTGCCGCGTATTGGACGAACGTGGTAATCTTATTCCCGCATTCAGTCGATCACAATCGATGATCACATCATCAATTGTGATTGATGGCATCTTATTATCAACTTGGAAGATAAGTATCTGGCATTTACGGCAGCCGCATAACCTTGGGTGGGGGCACCTCAGGTGCGCGTTGGAGGTAGTCAATTCTCAAAAACGAATACAGCCTGCTGTACTTCTTCAGCAGGCCCAATTCGGATGTGTATGAGTTTTACAGATACCGACTGCGTTGGAGATGCTCTAACACCACCCCTCAACCTTACTCTCCCGCCAAAAAAAGCAGAAAAAATGGCAAAAATTTCTCAAAAATTTCGGACCCAAACCTCTATGCGGACTGGCTTGGAACTCACGTGGTGGGTGCGGCGCAATTAGCCTGCCTCAGGGGCATGCCTTTGAGGCAGGCCCTGGGCAGGCCTTTTGGGGTTGATTTTGGGGTTGGCGTGCCCTTGTTAGGTTTAGGCTGGTTTAGGTCTATTCCGTCCAGTTACTGTTTGATTATGGGTGGGAATTTTTGTTTAACATCAACAATATTTTTAATTCCCACCTCAAATTGTTCTACTTACAACACATCCCTAATCTCCAAGCCACTATCAGCTACTATTGTGTTAGATAGGGGTCTGAGAACAATGATTGGGATGAGGATGAGCTTTTTGATTGTTAACTTTCATGACTGTTGATGAGATGTACATGAGTACCGTTATGAAATAATTATGTATGCTATGTCTGATGTTGTTTGAGCACTTTTCCCACCTACTTTGATTTTTGGGGAGATTTTAACACCTTAGAGGCACGCCTAAGCGCCCCCACCATAGGCCTGCCTCTGGAAATATCAAAATATGCGCCCAGGCCTGCCCCAAATTCAAAACATGCGCCCACCACGTGACTTGGAACACGTACTCGGGTTTACCCACTGTATATGTAGTCTGAGCAATTCGTGCTCGAGCGGCGGCGAAGGTGGGGAAATCTCAATTCAATACATGCATACATCTCAATCCATGATGCACCACCTGTCCAATTTCAATTCATTCGTCATGTAAAATGGCACAAGGGAAGTCTATAATGGAAGAAGTCCCGAGATCGAAGGTTTCTCTCGCTAGCTGCTTTCGTCTGTCAGTTGCTGATGGGTGCCCCGTAATTTGATATTCGAGCTCGACTACAAAGAGGCTCGCCGCTCACGAAGGATTCACCTCACATCCCACATCTTGAAGATAAATTTCACGAAAACGTCCCTCAATCAGTCAAACTTACGCTTTGTAATTTCATCATCATGCTCTTCATACCCGCTTTAGTTTCGGCATTATTCCTCTCAGCTATGGGCGTCCATGGTAGTAGTCAATGCGCCATTTGGAAGCAAAAGGTCAGTAGTCTGGTTTTAATCTAAAACCAATCCATGTGTGAAGGTCCATTGAGAGGTGTTGTATGTTTGATAGTCGGGAAGCGCCCTGCAGACGACTGTAAGTTTCACAAGATTTTATAGCAGACTCATTGAGGGCTACTATACTCAGGATGACGTTCAATACCTACTTTTACACCTTTAGGCTCAAAACATCGCGGGTTCTCCTGGAAGTTCCGTCGGAGTAAGTCACCTAATAACATGATCTATATCCCTCGTCATATTTCTTGGTTATCACTACACAGCTTGAAGGCATGCTTACGTCGCTCGCGCTTGATTAGGCCTGCGGTGTCTCCTATGCTGAAGGGACCCGTTTTGTTATGCTTTGGAACGCTTTGAATAGTAATGTGCAGCGACCAGCTGGTTCGACTCCTGGTTGGTTGACTGGGTAAATCTATCTTGCTTTCTGTTTGATGACCTGGTTCGCTCATGCCGTACTTGACTTCACTTATAATTCGCCATATGATGTCTTAGGGCTACCAAACAAAATTGCGGGAAGCAAGTGTGAGTCTGTCAACCTCCCGAATGTGATCGACCTTTGCTGATAGGATTGCTTGATAGTAAGGTTACCGCTAATAACAAAAGCGTTATCGGAGTTGTGGTCGAGTCCGGATCGTTTTCTCAGTCACCACTTGGCGAAAAGATCGGTTGCTCAAGCATATCTATCAGTAATCAGGTAAATTGTTTTTTTGAGTATCAGAATTGAAACCAATAAAGATTGAAACTCATAAATTTTATTATTTTAGATGATGACCGATCTAGGCGCTCATGGAGGTGTCAAGCTTCCAGTCACGTGGGAATTGTGAGTCTTGAGAAGATATTGACCTTGGAAACGTGTTTTTTCTGATGTCTACCATTTGAATCTCTACCAGTGTGGGCGCTCCCTTTTAAGCCTTTGGAAAAATGGCTGGTTCTTCGTCAAATTACTGTTTGGGTTTTGATTCGGGAATCTTTGATTCCCAGTAGATTCGAAATGAAGTTATGATATCAACGAATTTGGCTGCTTTAAGAAATGCATGAATTGGAATGATGTTGATGTCCAAAGTCATAAGATTGAATCAATTTTAACCTCGTTTCGTCCTTAATACCTATTTGTTTCTGAATATTTCATCTTTTTTTTTGGCTGGGCGTCACGCATTGCCGAACGAGCAGACCAGCATTGGTTTGCTCGAGCCAGTGCCGGTTTGCGTCGATTTTGTTAAGCTCAGCGGTTCTGCTGAGTTTTATGGTATCATCTCAAAACTCGGGAGTCAGCCTGCCTTGCACCAGTGTCTGTTATGTAGAGTCGTTTCGGAATCACGAGCATCACGTCTATATTTGGATGGGCTTCCGACCCTTGAAGTTGAATGCTGGTTTTGACAAATGAGTAACCTAACAAACTCTCAGGCTGGGGGGGGCTTTGTTAAGGTATAGGCAACTGAGCATGTTTGGGCATTGCAATCTGGCATTACTCACGGTCTGCAATCCACCTTGTGAATGCACAAACTTCACAAAGGCCCGAGGCTTGAGCGAGGGTGAATGCATGGCTTTTGACTGACACTGTCACTGTCACGACTCACTGGCCAGGATGGGGCCATCACAGGCCAGGACCACCAGAGAATCCACAAGATCATCCATTACACGTTGCAAAGTCCATCTACAACAGTATTCAAAGTAATTTACTGGCTTAGAAGAGTGATCGCGTATTGGTGTTTAAAATAGTGATGTGCATGTCAGTCTTTGCCGCGTTTGTTTAGCATCACACTGGAAAACACCGGGGACAAAATTTATTCTCATATCGCAGTGAAAGAATCCAAATAAGTAAAACTTCAAAGTCTCAGCAAAAAGACAACACAAAAACAATTGTTGGCATGCCACGCCACGGGGGAAGTTGGTATGCCGCATTGTCACCCTGATTCACTGCGGATGCCGTACGCGGCAACTGCAGCACAATTCTGGGTCTGATTTTGTATTGTGTCCAGGCTTCCAAGTTCCAGAGGTGCCAAAATATTTACAAAACGTAAAACGCTTGGCGCCAAATTCGAATTCCCTCCCAATATGCCCAAGTTTTACAGGCACAATTCGTCAAGCTTTTCTCCATCAACTGTAATATCATTTTAATCGAGCTTGGCTCTGTGGCTGCAAACCATGCTTGGTGGGTATCCTGAGCCAAAGACGCATTCCTCGGTGGTCTTTGAACAAGGTGCTCAAAGTTCGTTGTTCTTTTCTTAACTGGAAGAAAAAATAGAATCCATTTTGGGGTCATTCCTTGGAGAACATTCTTCAAATGACGAGATGCCTACAGAATACCTTTTTCTATCTCGGACACGTTGTGATACTTGTGTTTGAACGGTGTCGACTCGGAGGAGGTCGGCGGAGGTCGGCGGTACATATCTCAATACGCATACATCTCCATCAGAGTCCATCCTTGGCACCGGTGCACCTTGGCCTGTTCAATTGTAATTCATTCATCACAAAATGGCAAGAGGGAAATCTATGTATAGAACCAATCAGATGACTGATTTATACCTCTTACCTAACCGACATCGAAGGTTTGTATCGCTAGCTTCTTTCGTCAACTCAGACGGGGGCCCCATATTTTCATGTTCGGGCTCGACTACAAATACATAGGCTCGAAAAACATTCACCTCATATCCTTCAGCTCATCATCATATCCTACACCTTGAAAATTTATTTTGTGAAAACGTCCGCACATTCGTTGAACATAAATTTCGTGATTTCCTCATCATGCTTTTCATATCCACCTTGGTTTCAGCATTCCTCGTCTCAGCCATGGCTGTCCATGGTCGTAGCCAATGCGCCGCCTGGATTCAACAGGTTAGTAGTCTGATTTAACTCAAGTCCAATCCATCTCGAATGGTCTATTCAGAACTGGTATATCTATGATAGCGCGGCCACGGAGATTTCATCTCACCACAAAGACCTGTAAGTTCTGTGGCAATCTTCTTGAGGCCTACTATAGTGACGCTTACGTTTGACACCTATTTTTACACATCTTTAGGCTCAAAACCTCGCGAGCTCTAAAGGTCATCCGGGAGTAAGTCACGTAGTGAAATGAACCATACGCGTCATGGTATTTCACCAGTTGCGACTACAGAGCTATTTAGACGCTTACGTTGCACGTGTTCTAGGCCTGCGGTGCCCCCTACAAAGAAGGTGAAAAGTTTGTGATGCTTTGGAACGGTATACATAGCAATGTTCAAATACCACCTTCTTTGACTGGTGGTTGGGTGACTGGGTAAATCTATCCTGATACATACTTTCTCGATGGCCTGATTCGCTCACGTTATGTGTGAATCTACTTGAAATTGAACCTTTACTTGAGTATCTCAATCAACACACATTTCTTTCTATCATGGTCGAGAATGAGTTTCATAAGAGAGTATGGACAGCTGCTCAGTTTCGTCTTCCGCTTGTTGAGGAAGCTCAGGATCTACTGGAACATATTGCTAATCAAAGGATCAAGAGAATAGAGTTACAAAAATCAGAGTAATGATCTTTGGTATGGTTATCAGTAACAAACTAATAAAATGGATACCAACTTTTTTAAAAGTTCCAGAAGAGGTGCAAAATCTAGAAACTTTGACTTTGTCCTCTGAAAAATGAGAAAGAAACAATTGTTAAAGCCCTTGCCAGGGTCTCTGAATGTACCTTTTCAGCTTCCTTACCATCTATACATCACCAGTCTTGTTTTTATGCCATTCCACTTCTAGCTCAAATCTCACTCTATATATACCCGACTTTCTCTCATAAATGTCTAGAAAAACCCATGCACTTCTAAGTCCCATAGCTCAAAATACAACCTGTGTATTTCTAAGGGGTTTTCCTTAACAGTGTGGTCTTTGTTCTCATCCCTCTTTTCTGATTTTATGGATCTTATCATGTCTGCACTGTTTGTGAGCCTGGATTGGTTTCAGCTGTGATTCTTATCTGTTCTTCAAAATTGAGTGGAAAATCATAGGATTTGTTGAGAATTTACACTTGCTTACATTGTCCCCATTGAATAAGCTGCAACTTGTTGGATGATGCTTCTCACTCCATTTTCATTGGTCCTTTTCTGCTTTGTTGATTTTATTGATATCTCTTGCAATCTACCTTACAATCAATCACTAGAATTCTCTTATTGACCACTATACATCTTCTGGGACTGTAATAGTGGCCTTTGCTGGTGTAGAACATTTCTTACTTTTTTTCTACTTTTTTGGGGGGAAAAGGCGTGCCTGACGCGCCCCAGTGGCGCCTGTGCCAGTCCAATCAAGTTTTTTTGCGCATTGGCATGCCTGTTTGAAAAAGGACGCACCCACAACATGAGCCAGGGCCCTTTTGTTTTGGGTTTTCACAGTCACACCCTTGGTGAGGGCGTGAGAGCGCTCCCTTGAAGTTGCAGCATGATTTTTTTCTTCAAAAAAACACAATTTCATGGACACCAACACCTTCCATTTCAATCTTGTATGTCAAAGTAGTGGATTTCATACATATTACACAGGCACAACTTTGACTTCTGAGCAAATATCCCTGAAAACAGGCTTTTGATCCCAGCGGCTTGGCTACAATCCCAAAAATCTTCACAACACACAGATCATGGCTGTTTATGGTATATGGTTCACTTGGTTTTTTGTAGGGAGCCACACTGATTTTGTGGCCATGTTAGGCATATATATACGTAGGGCACCCCCTCCCCAAATCTACTTAGGGGTGCCAACAATAATTGCAGGAAGAAAGTGTAAGTCGGTCAAGCTCCTCGAAGTTGATCAACATTCGCTGATGGGGTTGCTTGGTACATAGTCGGGTTTACGCTAATGGGAGAAGTGTTGACGGAATTGTGGTCGAGTCCGGCTCGTTTTCCCCGACACAACAACCAATTGACGAAACTACCGGTTGCTCAAGCATAGCCATCAGTAATCAGGTAAACTCTCTTTTTGAGTATCAGAATCACAACTACTAAAGATCAAACACTGAAGCGATTGTATTTTTAGATGATGGCGGAGCTAGGCGCTAGTGGTAGTACCACACTTGACGTCACGTGGCAATTGTGAGTCTTGAGAAAATATCGAACGTGAAGACATGGTTTTTCTGATCTATGCAATTGGACTTTTCAATCAGTTTGGACCCAGCCGTTTAAATTTTGGGAGAATGGCTGGATCATAAGATTGTCATTCGAGTTTTGAGCAGCAAGTTCTTTATTTCGAGGAGATTGAGGATAGTGGGACGGCAACAACCAATTTGGCATTTTCAAGAAATGCAATGAACTGGAACGATGTCGATGTTCATAGTCACAAGATTCAATCAAATCTAACCTCACTTCATCCTTTCACTGTAAATAATTGTTCAATTCTATATATGTTGTTCACCTCTGTTCACCTTTCTTCTGTCTGGGCGACATGCTTTTCCAAACGAGAAAACAGTGCTCGATCAGTTTGTGTCGATTTTGTTGAAATACCAGCTGATCTCTTAAGATCTTGTGCAAAACTCATGACCTAGCCTTCCTTGGACCAGTGACCATTATGTAGAAGGTCTAAAGGTTTGGGAGATATCGATTTCTAATCATCCAATGTGTTAACTAGACCGCCCAAACACAATGAGCATATTGCCTCTTGATCACCTCATCAGCCTGTCTGGATCTGTACTTGAGGACCCCGACACCGTAAGTATTGATAACATGGGGTACATTCAATTTCGAAAAGCTCGTACAATTCACCCGCAAGACTTGAGTGAATTGGCGTGAAATGTAGGCAAGCTCTCTGAACTCGACGGTAATACTGTTGATTTGTGTGTCAACTTCAAAAGCCCCGGCCCAGTTGTCCTGCAGAACTAAAGCCAATTGGCATGGAGTTTGGACGAGCTCTATAACATCAACAGAGCAGTAAACTTGACACAAGTCTGATTCTCACAGGGTGCTTTTGAATCCACGAGCTCGATGCCCCGCCGGGCTTCTTATTTCAGCTGAACAGTAGTGGGACGTTGTGGTGGGGGCGTATGCCAGCGACGGATAGAGGACACCGGCGATGGGGGCGGACCTAATAAAGGTGGATGGATGGATGGATTGTGATACCTTATCAATGTTCCTCAATCGACCTTGTAATTGCCTCACCAGTATGATCTATGAGGGCATTGCAGGTTTTACTGACGATCTCTCAGAATGGGAGGATGCAAGTCACGCTTTCATACGGCAGTTCACATCAAAAAAACATCTTGGAAGAGCAATTTCTCATTGCCCGTTTTGCTGACAAGCAGAAGCTTACATGGAATATTAACTAACATATCGATGATTGCATGGATGTACGTTGGCATGGATGAGGCATGATGGGCAAGAAGTGGACAGCACAGTAGTGCAAAGGAATACTAGATGTGAGAATTGTGATTTTATTCCCGTCGAGCACCAGCCATTCCAACCACAGGCTTGCCTCGTCGGTCACCACGCTCACCACCACCCCTTCGGTCAGCAAAAGCCTGTGCAGAAGTTGATTGAACGTTGACAGGTAGTTTGTCGAAACCCATGGCTCGGAGCATATCCTATGTACAAAATTGGGGCAGAAAGGGTTCATCAGCACGGGTCCTTGGGTATGATTCGGTTCACAGTGAGTCTGAGGGTGGTTGAAATTTTGAAAAGCACCTTGGTGTCAGGGTCGACGTCAAGACCGGTGGCAGTTGTGTCAAGAGCGGAGACCTCAGGAACGTAGTTGTCTTTGCGCTCTCGTTCTTCTTCTTGAAGTTTGAAAGAGATACCACGGACGGGTCCTCGCTGAATACGTCGCATCAAATGTGTGGTGAATCCAGCGATCTTGTTGCGGAGTCGCTTGGAGGGAATACTGGCAACTTCATCGCAGCTGTAGAGGCGGAGACGCAAGGAAATGAGAAATAGCCCAAGGTAGTATGTTGAGATGTTCCACACTTACACCCGCTTGTTGACGTGGAAGTCAGTGACGAGACGGGGGTAGTATTTCTCGATGATCACCCTCGAGGCTCGCTTGACGGTCTTGGTACGAACTCGACCCTAGAGGTTCAAGGCAAGTCAAAAGGTCAGTCAACCTCCATATGAATTTGATACCCGGAGCGTGAAGCCGTTCTTGAAGGCCTTCGGCGACAGGAAGGGTCCGGCCATGCGGCATCCAAGAAGACGATTAAGGTGCAGAGCGACGTACCATTGTGACTGGATAGTTTGTCTTGAGGTACGATTGGATAAGTAGGTGAGTTTCGAAGGTCCCAAAGGCTCAATTCAGCGGTAGTGGCATTGCACTCAGGCAAGCGGAGGGGGGCTTGAGTAAACCTATGTAGGTCTGAAACCGGCTGCGGTGCGCATCAATAGTATCGCTTTCCAGCTTTCGCACTGCAACCGGGACCTCAGCAACAACCAAGTCTCACCATTGATCATCAAGGCAACACCACGAAACCAACCTCCCCCGCGGCCTCGACTCAGGAACTCACAAGCAAAGGTGCATGCTCACGCACACGCCCTTTGCTCCAGTCATCATCAGCTGACAATCTTGTTCCTCATCCACCTAATTCTTTGTTTCCGGAATACCTAAGATCCCAAATAGCACTTCAAGATGCGAGTCTCAGTTTTGGTCAGTGGCTGTTGAAATTTTGAGAAACTTACGGCGATCTGGACGTCAACACCTGCTTTTTTACAAGTCACTCACATGATCGTCGGATTTATAGAATGACTGCCTTAACAACATGCTCAACGCCGAGCGTCGTGGAAAACGTCAAGTTTTGATCCGACCTAGCTCAAAGGTCATTGTTCGATTTTTGACAGTGATGCAAAAGCACGGTGAATTTTGATTTGATCACTGGTTGATAGCCTTTCATAATCGTAGTTTGCTGGAACTGAAGAGGGTTTTCTTTTCATGCAGGTTACATTGACGAGTTCGAGTACATTGACGATCACCGTGCCGGTAAGATCGTTGTTCAGCTCAACGGACGAATCAACAAATGTGGCGTCGTCTCTCCAAGGTTCAATGTCCAGTTGGACCAAATTGAAAACTGGGTCAACAGGCTTTTGCCCGCTCGTTCGTTCGGTATCATCATCCTTGTATGTACACCCGCCTCAACACATTCTTTCTCTGAGTTGTCAAACTAACGTACCCTTTGTGCCCCACAGACGACTTCAGCCGGTATCATGGACCACGAGGAAGCCCGACGGAAACACGTTGCTGGCAAAATCCTCGGATATGTTTATTGATCTAACATGCAATTCTAACATTACGAACCACAACATGTGTACACCGGAAGCTTGATATCTTGCTTCGTATCTTCATATTGAACAATCAGATCCACGTTCACCCATTTATTCTGGCCCGTTACATCGCTCCTGTAGCTTTTACAATCCCCGCGTCTCATGCTGTTTTCCTGTGCTGTGATCGAGCTGCACGCCACCATCAAGGCCTTCCCGTGATCTACCATGATACTCATCGCCGATCATCGCTGCCTCTGTTTTCCAAACACTCTTCATGTCCCACTTCTTGCACTTTGCCCTTGCCCAAAACCTTGACTGCATAATCTCTCTATGGCGTTGCAGAGCTACTGCCTACGGTTGAAACCTAGAGGGGCTCAAGAGTTCTCTCCAATCGACTACATGACATACACGGTTCACCATTAGTGGTTCAAGCCATATCGATCATCTCACCCGGAACAAATCCTGAAAGGTGTGAAATCACATGCCTTTTCTGCGTTGATCCACGTCACTCGGCACCTAGCTTTGATGTTGAACAGAACAACAAATATGATTTTGGATTTTCAAACAAAGTGACACGGAAAGCCAACTTATTGAAGCTTGTACAACACACGCGAGATTAATCTGCGTAAACTTCGCCACCCTTTGGTCACCGGTCCACTTGAGTTTGTTTTGCGAAAGAAGGGTTTTCGAGGTTACCTCTTCGGCCTACTGGTCAAAGCAACCGCTGACTCGAAGATATCAGTAAGCATTTAACCATATATGAGATAGTAATTTCATGTCTGGTTCCAATCATCCAGTTTGCCACTCGGACCTACCAATTGATTGTTAAGTTTACCAATTGATTTACTCAGTCAAATTCAGCAGTTTCAGCCCTCAAAAAAATGCCCTATTGAGATCACTGAAAGAAAACGTCACATCACTCTGGTTTATTTACAGTCCATCAGAGGTTTGTAGACCATGGGTTGATACTCATTTTTGTTCTATTGGGGTGGAGGATTTTTGGCTATGCTGGTTGACACAGACTTAACACGAGCATGCTGGTACAAATTCTCGTACCTCACTAAGAACAACAATAACTCAGCCAGTCTCGCCAGAACGAATCATTCATTATCTACTCCCTTCTTGCCTTTGTAATTTACTGTTGGCCACTCATTTACTTGTAATTCTGATATATATCTATTTCAAGGCATTGTTGGCAGTCATAATGCCTATAAGGCCTCAATACTGATATATATATACCCCTACCATAGGTCTGCCATGAGCTGGCGGGTCAGAGATGGAATACAAGCAGTGGCTAATCTCCGGAAGGACCTCTATTCCCACTCTGTACTTCATAGCCTTTTCTTAACACTGCTTCAATTGTAACTGGAGATGGAACACCCAACAGCAACTTTACCCCTGACACCGCCAGAGGGGGATAACTGGTGCTGGAACAGATATACCGTGCTTGATAGCCTAAGAACACTTTGAGTGATGCAAAAAAGTATCAGGGGACTTTTGTTTCCTTTCATTCAAGGAGTTTGAAGAGAATCTTTGATCTCCAAACATTGGTTCCAATAGAATTTCATCCTTAGGTGAAAAGCAAAAGCAGCTACTTTCTGTCAAAACAAGAAACTCTTGGGCCCCTCTTTCAAATAGCCAGACCAAAAAATCTAAGATGCAGAACAGCTAATATACATCAAACAGACCTTTTGTTTTTTTAATCAAATTTATATTATACTGAAAGGCTATTGTTCTAATCAAAGAGAGAACTCTCTTCCTTGAAAGAAATCCGACAAAAAGAATTGAAATATAAGTACATTCCAAATTCCAAACCGATTTTAACGTATCCACATATACAGATTTATTTGTCTATTGTGTTTTTATTTTCTATTTACATATATCCCTGTACTCTGATTTCTAAACAAAGAAAAAAAAAGTTGCACAAATTTATAAAGTCAAAAATCATTTCCAAGTATACAATTTTGATGTGTGGGTTTTTTTTGGAAGAAAAGGAAAAAAAATGAATGGAAAGTGTTGATATTACATATCTATTTTGTAAATGATTTGAAAAGAAAGGATATAAAACAAACAAATTCAAGACCAACAAGATATGTTGAGGTTTTATACTTTATGAAATGTAAGGAATCAATGAATTGATATGGTTGAATGATTTGGGTTTGATTGTCCAGTGAGCGGTGGTGATGGTGAAAAAGGAGTGTTATTCAAGCTTATAAAACTGGTTAATGGACTTATCTGATCCAAAGGTCTTATGGATGGTAATTGAGTTCTAGAAGAATGGACTTGAAGTTGTGATAGATTTGAGTGATGAGGAATTTGAGCATCCCCATTTCTTTGACCTGTTCTCATAGATTGTTGATCAAGACTTGGAAGATTATCGACGGTGTTAGACCTTGTGGTAGATTTTGGTGAATGAGTTGAAGAGGAAAATGTAAATATGGATGAGTTTGAAGTTGAGGTAGAACCTGTTGAAGAGGAATTAGTTGCAGTTCGACTTAATTGGTTTCTCGGTTCTGATGGACTTGAATTGATTTCATAATCAGGTGGTGGTGGTGTTGGTGCGGATGATTGATTGTGAAGTCCATTGATAAATCTTGAAAAGAATGAAGTCTGAACTGTGGAGTTTGAATGCAATTCTGACGACGAGATTGTCATCTCACTCGCGATAGGATTAAGTGAACTTTTATTTTGCAAAGAAACAAAAAAATAACATAAACGTTAACATGATTAAAAAAACCTTATGAAGGGAAAAGAGATATGAGAAAACTGACTATTCGGGTACGGTGCTAACACTATCGGATCGACTGTGTCTACGATTTCTGCCACCTAGCATCATTCTTCTTATTCGATCTGATCTGGTCTCTCCGTCTGGAATATCAAGTCCAATTGCTCTCGAGGTTGCAATCTCATCACATGGTTCTCCTTGACCTAATGACCTTTGATCAAACTTTGATGTTCGAGAATAAAACCTTTGACGACAAATTAATAACATGATGAAAACAACTACAAGCGGAACAATCACCATGACTGCAATCAAACCAGGAGACATCTCTTGTTTTGGTTGATTTATACTAGATGAAGGTAACGAATATTTAATTTTGGGTAATGATCCACTTTGTAAGTTATTGTTATTGCCATTTCTGTACTGAAAATTATCGTCATTGTTGCTTTGAATTCCATTGTCAATGTTGTTTTGGATGCCATTGCCATCGCTGGTAGGGAGAATGTTATCATTGTTGTTTTGAATGTTATTGTTATTGTTGTTTTGGAAGTTATTGTCGTTGTTGTATTGATTGCTATATCGATTGTTATTTTGAATGTTGCTTTGATCGTTGTCAAGATTAGCGGATTTTGTCCCGGGTCCTATAGTACTAACAGAAGGGCTAGAATTATTGAAGAAAGACATTGTGGATTGGTTTGAAGATTGATTATGGCGATGATTATTTAATTTCTTGTCAAGAGTTGAAGAATGTGAATGTTTTCAAATTGAGTGAAACTTCATTCCACAAAAGAAGTTGGAATGCTGAAAAAGGGAGAAAAGGAAACCTTGAAAAAACATTTACAATGGGAATCAACACCAAATCGTTTGGAAAAAAAATGAAATCATATCGTGGAAAGAAAGAAGTAAAAAAAGGACTATGTCAAGGGTCTGTCCTTGGTCTCCAAGTTCCTAACGTTTACGATTTTGAATTTTACAATACACATTTCCCCTCTTCTTTTTGAATCTTACCTTTTCTAATCCTTCCTTGAACTGTTCTAAAGGGTTTGACTTTCAGATATCTTCCAATGAACAATCTTCCACTGGAATCTTTTACCTCGAAGATTTCCATAAGAATCGAGTTATGTGAGTTGCCAAACATCATGTCAAGCCGGGGGCGAGGTGAAGTTGAACTATGATTGCTGAGCTGGTGAGTGGGTGATGATTGACTCTTCTTCTTCAAGTTCCATCCCGGATGTCTTACTGCAGTTGCTAGTATACCTGAAGAAACAAAGATGATATGATGTCACTGTCAGTCTGTATCGGGATTTGTCCAGTGCTTGGGTCGTATAACCCTCATGTGGTATACTACAATACCATTCAACTGGTGAACATCAGTACATGTTTCTCATCTAGGCGGTGCATCTAGGCGGTGCATCGTGTTTAGATACTTATTTGATAGCGTGATAAAAAGAGTGTACCAGAAAATCAGACCTCAGAGCTTTTCGCATTTATTGAAAACATGCATCACGTAGGTCGAGAAGACAAAAAATCAAATTTGACTGATATTGATATGTTTAACGGAAGATACTGAGGATACTTGGGCCCGATATTGGAAAAGCCAGTTGCTCTGAGTCTCAATATGTGCCCATATTTTCCCATTTAAAAGCTTGTTAGCAAGCATCAGAAGTTGGGACTCGAGAAATGTGACTATTTTATCCAAGTTTCCTTCTCGATTTCCAAAATTTTGTCTAATGTCATGCTAGGCCTTGACTCTTTTACCAAGTTTTAATGCTTCAGGTTTCGAGGGAAAGGTTTACAGATTTGGTTTTGAGGAAATATCAACTTTCACTTTGAAACCATATTTTAGAAGTGACGATTTCAAAAAGACCAATTTGAAGTACTGCAAACTTTCACCTCACCTCAAACTTGGATTTGCAGGACCAACAATAACTCAAGTTTGATTTTTGTTTTCGAAAATCACTACATAAAGCAAATTACATTATGAACAGCCCGTATGACTATGAGAAAACAGTGACTAGCAAAGATAGATATCATACATAGTTTGAAAACAGATGGAATCGAAGAAACGATAGAAATCCTATCACAATTGTGATATCAAGAGGGAGGTTAAAGTTCAAAGGGGTAATAATTCTTCACCCTTGATATTATTCATAGGATCCTCGTGTCCAAGATCTCGGTTCATTCTATAAGCCTGTAGATTCAAAGCAACAGATCAGAAAAACGATCAGTTCAGCTCAAGGATCGTGATAAGAGATGATATGACTATTTACCTCTAACTGTTCTTCTGTCAATTCAAGGTCATCATCTTGTGCATTATACCCATTAGATTCATCACCAACTTCAGTTCTCTTTCTACGTTTTTCACTTTCAATAGCTTTTTGAAGTTTTTCTTTATTCAATTCTCCCGTTTCATCACGTCCACCTAATCTTTTCCTACTAGCTCTTTCAATTTCACGTTCTTCACGTTCAACTTCTTCATCTATTACTCTTTTCTTTCCTTTACCTACCATCGCAGCTGTTTCTGCTGCTTTTCTTTTAATGTTTTCTTCCATTAATTCTACAAATGATTTGGATTGATCTTGTTGATTTAGTAATGATCTAGTACCAGCTGGTACATTGGCTTCGGCACTATATGCTTCGATTCCTGCGGATCCGGTACAGTATGATTGTTTGGTAGTCGAATGACAACATTTGAAACCCCAGGTCATCTTCGTTAGGTTATACCAAGATCCATAAACCGATGTATGATTTCCAGGAAAGACTGTACCAAAAAAAGGACAAGAGTCAAAGATTTGTTTCATGAAAAGGGGGTTGAAGCGATCAAGCTTTGAAGAGAAAGCAATACATACCATCTTCATCGTACTTAGATTTAGCTTTAGCACGCTCTTGACCCTTTGTAACCTGACCAGTTCTAGAATATTCTACATAATTCTCAGTTTGACCACTCAAGAGTTCTAATGGAACTCTTTCTAAATGTTCTTCACCACCATATCTTTCCAAGATCCCAACCTTACTCGTCTCCTTAAGTTTTTCCTTCTTCTTAAGAAACTCTTGATGTAATAATTCTCCTTGGGTTGGGTTGGCGTTAATGTGTACATCGTTTCCTCTTTGTTCGGATTGCCACGCGAAAAGTTGAAGTTTTTGTACCTCCGTAGCTCCTGCTGATGAACGTGAAAAGTTGTCACCAGCAAATTTGGCCTAAAGAAAATCAAGAAAATAATGAGTGATTGAGATGTCAAGGACTAAATCGGGAATGGATAAGAATTTTCTGCTTACGTCTTCTGGAGCTACATCGGCTTGTGGTGCCTCTCTCATCGAACGAGTTTTAGGATCGTAGTAAGCAGAATCGACATCCAGGTTCATAAGATACTTTGCAGTATCTTCTCTGATTCTCAAGTTTCGGACCGTCATACGAGTCTTAGCATCCATCTTTTGACCAGCTTGATCTGCAGCATCTGCATATTTATCTTCATCTTCATCATCACTTTCATCACTACTACCGAATTCATCTTCATCTGCTGTTTTCTTTTTCGCTACTTTACCAGCTCTTGCTACTTTTTTCACTTCTTTTAAATCAGTCGATTTATCTAATTGTTCTTCTCTCATCTTTTGTCTTGCAGATTCTAATGCTTGATGTTCTTCTACTACTTTTTTATGTTCAGATGGATCATAACCATCCCATCTATCTCGTTTTGAATCCCAATCTTCTCCTTTTTGTCCTGCTAAATATTCATCTGGTGCTATATCTGAATTCGTCCATTTAGCTCCCTTCTTTCTTGGTCTTTCTAAACAATCTTGAACTTGATGACTCATCGCTCCACAATTCGTACAAGCTCCTTTACGATACTTTGTTGCTGATTGGATCTGGATCAAAGGAAATGATAGTCAGAAGATTAGTTACGATTCACGAGTGGAAATCTACAAATAAAACTCTACCTTGATCCCTCTTAAAACTTGTTCTTTTAATTTTGCTGGATCCGCGTTGTACTCTTTACCTTTCTGATGTTTGAGTGAAGGCGCACCGGTGTTCATGTACCAAGGTGCCTGGGCCATGAACTCTGAGATCGATATAGTAGATAAGAAAATTCGTCAGCATGCCGAAACGGATATATGCGATGAATTCAACAAAGAGATTGAAAGTATGGTGAAAGCTTACGTGGGATATGAGGATTGATAGCGTTACCATCTTCATCGACTTCAGCTGGTGCGTTACCTGCCTTACGAGCAGCATCTAAATCTTTTTGACGTCGAAATTCTTCTCGAGAGACTTTACCGATCGCAGAAGATGAAGCGGTCGCCATTTTGAATGAGATATGGAAACGAGATTGAGGCTGATTGAGGTTGAGATTGAGGTTGAGAATGAATTGGAGTGGTCAAGAGTCAAGTGGTGTTAACCGAAATTTGAGGTGTAAATATATGGGTAGGTATCACATAGTAAACATCTGGATGCAAATTGTGAAGCTTGGGTGACATCTCAGAGTATGAGGTTAACCTTTCAGGTCGATCAACCTCCGTCCTCAAATTCAACTTTATCAACTTCAAGCTTTTAGGAATCAGCAATAGCATCACTCATCGCTATCATTCTCATCAAGGATATCATTCTCATTAATCAAATCAATCATCAAAGAATCAAATGAACATATAGAACATCTAAACACAAAACTAAATATATCATGTCAAACCATCCACAACAATCTGCAACGAAATCATCCTTTATAACTCAATCAACCAATTCAAAAACAAATAACGATCAAGCCATCTTAGATTACTTGAACAGACGAGGTTTCACAAAAGCAGAACAAGCATTAAAACATGAATTACAATCTATTCAACTTTCTGCTTCACAACCAATACCTAAATCAAAAACGGTAGGATTAGATGAATTTGCAGATAAGAATGCTAATTTAAATCCATCGGATCATCATCAAAAGAAAAAAGAAGGAGTAGGTAAAAGTTTAATTAAACATCCTTCTGAATTTGCTAAAGGTTATGAAGGATTACGGGATTTTATTAATCATGTTGAGTAATCTTGTTATTAACTTTCTTTTTGTGATTCATCATATTGACTAAACAACTGATTTGATCTTTCATTTAGTCACTTGATATACATCGACCTGCATTCATGCCATTTTTACTACCACTCTTTGTCCATTCTTATTTGGAATTGGTTTTAGATGGTCGAAGAGATGCGGCTGATGAGTTCTTACATCGGTAAGACCAAAACGCAAAACAAATCAATCCATCATTCTTACAAGTCTGATCCGAATATCTATTGTTTTCTGTCGTCTAGGTTCTCGCCTGATCATGTAGCCAGTCAACCTACTCTTATTCAACAACTCGCATCTCTCAGACATCCATATCATCTTCAAGAATCTGAAATTGCTCAAAGATGGAGATCAGAACGATATGTGATCAGGATTAGTGAACGAGCCAAGAACTTATTGATGGCATGGCTTCAAACTGAATCAATCGGTGGTGATACTGATGAGAGTCGAGCCAAAGATCGAATGACGAGTATGATCAATGAACGCGTTCGAGTTGAATGTTTGTGACCTTTATCATTCCAATTCTTGGTGCTAATTACGACATCTGATGTCTTGCAAAAATCACTCGAACTTTGTAGATACGAGCGCGTCTATCCTAAGTCAATTTCAATCTGGTCTGGAATCTGACCTAGCACATCCACCCGAACATCAAACACATCATACCTCATCAAATGATACCTCAAAAGAACCTCAACCACTCAAATTAGGTCCAGCACCAAAAGATCCAAAGCTAATGCGTGAAGTTGAACGATTCTTTACTATGGAAGATCAAAAAAAGTCGAATTCGATCGATAACTCAGATTCAAATCAAATTAAAGATACCAACAATGGAGATGTGACCATGACTGATGGAACCAAACAACCAGGTCCAGAGCCCACCAACACCACTACGAATCCTACGGCTACTACCACAACGGTTCCTTCTATAAACCCTCCAGCAGCTTCAACGACAATAGAAAGTGACGAAGTTCAGAAGAAGATGATCGAACCAACCAAACATGATTTACTTCCTTACCCAATTCATTTTCGAACACTTGATCTTAAAAGAGAAGTCGAATTGGTAAGAGAAGCTCGTAAACGGATTCGGCTTGGTCCTGAAGCTTTTAATTCGGATGGACAACCTAATAATCAAAAAAAGACTGAAACTGAGGTTTGGAAACCTAGTGTATGCGCCTTTACAATTCATGATGCAGGTCAAACGTTGAGTATCTTGGTCATCTTCTTTATCTTTTGCTTCCTGGTTTGATTTTGTCCATGTGTTCTGATTATCTATTCGAATTAGAATAGGATGACAGCTGCTCAATTTTCAGATGATGTTACGATTTTGGGAGCTGGATTCTCAGATAGTTCGATCAAACTTTGGAATCTCAAAGGTGAACCGTTTGAACCGATACGTGATGATGGTACACTTGATTCGACTAGTGTCAATGAATGTGAGTCATGTCACTTTGAAAAGCATGTGTAGGACTTGGAACACTAAAACAGTAAAATACTTGCTTAACCTCATTTCTTGTGCGGGTTTCATTTTCATTCATCAAGCTGAATCCGTTAGAAGAATGCGCAAGAAGACAGCTACAAACTCGATCAAATTAATAGGACATTCAGGACCAGTTTACTCATTATCATTTGATCCAATCCCAGGTCCATCAGCCCCACCAAGACATCTAATCTCATCATCACAAGATTCTACAATCAGATTATGGTCATTAGATCTTTTTAAGAACTTGGTGGTTTATAGAGGTCATCGAGAACCAGTTTGGGATGTCGAATGGGGTCCTAAAGGAATCTACTTTGCTAGCGCTAGTAGGGATCGGACGGCTAGACTATGGTGTTGTGAAAGAGTTAATGCGGTGAGGATGTTTGTTGGGCATCTGAGTGATGTTGATGTGAGTGTTTGAGTGTTTGCTGGGTAAATATCGAAATATATATTGAACGAGAACTTTTTTGAGAATGGGTTTGTAGTGTATCACATTTCATCCTAATTCACTATATATGGCTACCGGATCCAGTGATCGAACGTGTAGACTTTGGGATGTTCAACGTGGGAATTGTGTAAGAGTGTTTCATGGTCATGAAGGGGCGGTGAATTGTGTAAAGATTAGTCCGGATGGTAAACTGTTAGCGTCAGCAGGTTGAGTCAATTTTTTTCAATTTGGTATTGATCAATTTATCAGCTATTGATACTGACAACTGAAAAGAATTCGATCTTTTTGCAATTAACCATAATGTTTTCAAAAACACACAGGAGAAGATCAATCGATTAAAATATGGGATATAGGATCCTCAAGACTGATGAAAACCATGCGAGGACATCAATCGTCAATTTATTCCCTAGACTTTAATGCAGAATCGAATTTGATAGCCACAGGCTCAGCAGATGAAAGTGTAAGGATATGGGATGTAGAACGTTCTTCTACTAACCAACCACCCAAAAGACACAATGGGAATGGGAACGGAAGAGGATTTGGAAATGATGAAGTCTTGCTTAAAGGCGATTCGAATTCTACTATCAAGCTTTTGAAAAACGGGTTGTTTGGATTACAGGAGTATCAGAATACGTAAGCAAATGTAGAGTTTTGTTTATCCACGCTTTTGATTCGAGTGAATGATTTATGACTTATCATGTTTCTTTTGGTGGGGGGCATATGTTGTTTTGTAGACCGGATTTGTTGTCTACTTTAGCTACAAGGAAAACTCCGGTTTTGAGTACTAAGTTTACAACTCGAAATTTGTTATTGGCTGTTGGTCCAATGATCATTTGAAGAAAAATAGAAACTTATGTAAATTCATGTTGAAAACTTTTTGATTCATTTATATTAATTATATTTTTTTTCTTGTGTTTCTACAAAAAAAGAATTGATCCGTTCAGTTCTTATATAGTGATTTTGGATTGAAAGTCTCAATGATACTGAGGGTTTCTTCATCAAAGGAAAAGAAAAATAGGCTTCATGATCTTTTTTTACTGTGTTTTTGTTTTGTGTAATTGTGTGTTTTTTGTTTTTGTTTTACTTACTTTGAGCAGATGTGTGTGTGTGAAAGAAAAAGAAAAAGAAAAAGAAAATTGTATTGTTCTTTGCGCAATGATCCATGGATATATAACTAAATTTGAAAGAATAATGAGAGAAATTGAGACATTATGATTGGTTTGTGTAAAGCTTTGACTTACAGCCGTTTGCAGAATTGATGACTTTGGAAAAAGAGAAAATGCTAGAGTTTTCCAAAAAAACTCTCTGTAAAACTCATTGAGTTTTACAAAAACTGGGAGTACCAAAGGATCCGGATTTGAGTCCTGATAATCTGATACTGATACTTTTCTGATAATGTGGGAACAGTATTGGCTTGTGAGGGACTTTTAGTTATGTTTTGAAATGGTTTCTTGAAAAATTAAAACAATCCAGGGGTGGAATTGGATAGACTAGTAATACAACCACATCATAAGTCCCTGGGAGGGAGTTTAGTGTGGTAAACAGCCTATGATGTCATGACTGTACATATCATAAAAAGAATGAAAAGTCCGACCCGTCAGTAAACATGACACATTATTACAGACCAACTCATTCCCATTCCCATCTGTTAATAACCCGTTACCAACAACTAATTGTAGTGTAGCCTTTTTCCCCTGTGTTCATGAGTACACACCGTCTTATTTACAAGTCTTATTCATTTAAGCACCTTACATCCCTTTATCCCTCATTTAAAGCTCAATACACTCTATACTACTCTTTTACCCTTTTCTCATTTCTGTAGTACTCCTCGAAGTATTATATCCCTCTCTTTCTTCTGGTCTTTTGGCTCTTTTGAAGCCTCAGTATTATTTAGAGTAGGCTAGTTAACTCTATCCAAAGTTTATTTGCACACCTCATGTACTTCTTTTGTGTGTGTGGTGTTTGTCTTTATTTCTTTTTTCCTACTCAGTTACAGCAACACCCAAACCAATCCAACACAAAAGTCGGTGTCGTATTGGTATCGTATTGCTAATCCAAGATCAAAAGTTGGATTTCTCCATATTGGTTGGCCCAACCCGATATGGGGAGTCCATTTTTTTCATATTGGGTATTGGCGACACAACACACGATTGAACCAATATGAGATTGTATGATCTTCTTTCTTGACAATGTAACATATCATTATAAATAATAGTTGCAATAGCTGTGTAAGTGTGCTGTATACATTTTTTGAGTCCCAATTTTCCTTTTTTACGTTGAAATCAATTTTTACCACATTGTATCAGCTTGTATTGCTTGATTGATGCGATATGAGCCGCCAAATTTTTTTTGTCTCCATGTCGTATTGGGTATTGGTTCAGATATGTTCGCTGCCCAATACGACATGGAAAACGTCTGATTTGTTGTATTGTGTCGGATTGGTTCGGGTGTTGGTTACAGCTTGCTAAAACTCATCTTTTCATCAAGGGTTCCTACAACGTACAGAGCTAAGCCATGGTTTGGCAGTGATATCCATTTCTCTCCTTCTATTACATGCTGCGGTATTCCTAAACAGCAACCTTCCTTGAACCCATCAATGATATAAGGTATGTCATCCTCTAACCCCACTTCCTTCATGAGTTCCACCCATTCTTCCACATTCATGGATATTTTCATTGGACCAGGCCAGTTGTCTTTCACCTCAACTTTGTAAGTCTTACATTAATTTATCAGAAAGATCCCCTTCTCAATCTTGGTTGTGCCTGAGTTCCTCAAACACTCAACCGACAACTCTGAGGAGTCCGAGCTACCATTGTCTGACTCTTCTCCTTGGCTTGCAGCATTCTCAATCGGGTCTCTCACTTGCATTTAGATAAACTCTCAGGATTTGACCACAAATTAGTTATGTGTCTATTAACCTAGAGCACCAAATTTTCATTCCACAAACCCCAATAAAAAGCACCCTACAGAACCTGTCTACAAGTTTGGTACAGTTTACTAACTACAATTAGAATAAAAGCACCCGTACCAAAACAACCATCAGAAATTCCCCTATCCCCGTAGATCATGACAAAACCAAGCCAACCCAACCAAACTTGTTCAAAGGTCACCAAGCTAGTTGTTTCTACTTAGGGGAAGTAAAGGATCCAGAAATGGGTGAAGAGGTTACTACTTACCTTTAGTCAGGGAGCTGATTAAGGTTATGAAGTTACCACTACTCTTATATTTATAAGACTCTTGATGTTACTTTGAGAGAACTTTAATGTTCTTCTTCAAAAGTATGGTGTAATAATTGATTGGGCAAAATCTCTGCAGGCTGAGAGAGGAGGGGTTTATATACTCTGCTCTCTAAACCTAGCCGTAGTGATATTTCTATCACTACAATGGTTTGGGGATTATCATTAATTATTATTGTTTTTACTTTTACGTATCATAATATTGAGTACTTGTTATTTAATATAAGCATCTTAACTCTTGACACTAAGTTATGAGGTGTAGCTGATGTCATATTACATGTTGTTTTAAGTGTACATGTATATGTAATCAGTATTTTATATATTTTATCACATGCTACATACCACCCACTATGGCAAAAAAAATCCATTAATAATTTAATGCGACTTTTACATCACGGTGAGAAAATTTCTCACCGTGTATGTATATGTAAAACCATACAACAGTGTGCTTGTTAGAAAGGTCTGGTAACCAAATAAAAAGCAAAATCACCATGGTGATAATGAATCACAATGGTGTCTTTTACCATTTGGTAAACAAGGTCATTTGTTGATCGAGTTCAAAAACCAAAAAAAACTTAATCACTCTCATCGCTCTCAATATCATCTACCCGTTCAACTTCTGCAATTATTTTTTAAGCAATTTGATTGATGATAACATGGTCAATAACCAAGCTCTTCACTGTTGGAAGCAAAGTTGAATTGGTGGAAATGACATCTTTTGAGGAAGTCGAATTCGACTCTAAATCAACACCACAATGAGATTGAATGGATTCAAGATCGAAAAGTTTAAGTAGAGAAAAAGGTTGAGGTGGTGATGACTTGAATGGTTTGCAATTGAAGAGCAAAGGACTTGTAGAAAACAAAGAAAAAAATGGTGAGGTCCGAAATAACAGATGGTGATGGCTTGAGAAGAGAGAACGATGAAAAGTTGCAGTCGCATTAATTTCAAAATATTTGACTTTTAGTCGTTTTCAAGAATGCGCACAATTTTTGCACATATGTGCAGAAATCCGTGTATCTCTTTTGTTGCATTTTTGTTTACCAAACAAGATTTTCGGGTGACATATGCGACCGAAAATCACTGCGCTTTTTTGGTGGTGCACAGTCGGTCGCATACGTCACACACTGGTTGCCGAAGTGGGTGTACTGTGTACAGACTGTATGTATATGTAATTAGATTTCTATATGATAATTTTATATTACAGCTGTTCCAACAAAGATTGATTTTTTTGAAAATCTCGCCAATGTGCAAAACCCGGGTTTTGTCCCTCACTTGCTTTTGTCTCTCGGCTAATTGGAAGAATACAGGAAATGATAAACCTGTAATCAAGTTTTGTCTTTGGTTTTAGCCGCTGCGGAGACAACTTTCTCCAAAAAACAGTTGTCAACCTTTCTTGGAACGGCTGTACAAGTTAGTTTTGGGTACATGGATATGTACCCAAGGCTGACAAAAACTGTGTAAATGTTGCATGGTGAAATGTTTATTTTGAAAATGCTTAATGACAGATGAAAAACGAGCATATTTACAGGCTCTCTGGACTGAAAGAAAAATTCTCATCAGATCATGAACTTGAAGAACATTGCAAGACTTTTATTTTTGTGATAAAAGTTTGAGCTCCTGACCGGCACAGGGGCAAATAATTCAAAGAATGAGTCATTTGAAAGTAACACTTGATTTCTCTAGGTTGCAATTAGGAAGCACACTGCTTGCTATTCCTGTCTTTCATGATGATCATAGGGTGTAAATATTGTGTCTTCAAAATTTTGTAAGGCAGATGTGCTGAGGATAAAATTTGGCTTCAAAACATCACCAAAAGAGAAAAATGCTTGCGTGATCTAATTTAACTGCTTTACATGTGATCAAATAAAATAAGCAATCTGCAGACAGAATCCCAGAAGTTTAAGTCTGGATATGATTTGAATGCATCAAAGAAAATTGTTGCACATGTTGCGCAAGCTATCAGCACGTCGCGCAGGCTGAACAAAGAACGCATTTGCTCGTCAACGATACAAAACTTGCTAGAACGTTTTGAACTCAACTCACATATGAACTCTAAGCTAGCTGGGTTTGTCTTGCAAGTATATTGATTATAGCCAGGGTTAGTACAACCTGGAAGATTTGACCCACATTTCAAGGTCAACAGTGGTAGAGGTAAATAGAGGTAAATTGCATACTACAAGAGGAACAGAGAGTGATGACGCACTGTAGGCTTTGGTATTAGTATCCCATTCGTAGTATGAACAATCTTGTTCGCTGGGTCCCGAATTGTCCACCACCCAATAGCAGTTAGTCATCTTTGCAAATTGGTTACCTATATTTACATTCGGAAGATCGATATTCACTGGTAAGTTTTTAATCATGCAAAGAAGGATTGCTTTCTTTTGGATTACCTACCGTGAGGATTGTAACAAGTTTTATAAGTACATTTGGATTCAGATTTGTACGATTCAGTATCAGCGCAAACTTTTGAAGTCAAACCGTTTAGATTCAAGTAAGCTAATTGTGAATTTAAATCAAGGCGAAGAGGAAAAAGAAGAGTTAATTACTGGCTTGACCCTGCTGTTGACTAAAAAAGTAACGACAAGGTTTTGCAAATGTGCCCAGACACAAGGTAGAGACTAGGACGACGATCGCAAGTTGATATTTTTGAAGAAACATCTTGATTGGAGGAGGTGAATATCTCAAATTTAGGTGCTTGAAGCAGAAAATAGTTAGACGATGAGTATCAGATAACAGCAGCACGCGATCGAGTTGACGCCAAATGTGAACAGACCATTCAATGGCAAGACTCTTCTTCCGGGACGGCTGTCTTCATCCACCGAGGTATTCTCGGGGTGAATTGGAGACTTATGCTACCGCCAGATGTATCAAGCCTGCAATGCGGGAGGTGGCTTCGCTTCGGAAAGTTGCAGTTTGCCATCTCTTCGTCTTCTTGAGTGTTGTTTCGAAAAAAACAAGTATTTGATTTGCGGTGGATGGTCTACTTGGGATCGCTTGATTCTGCTCCCCTTCCTTGTTGACCATATCCCCCATTCCTATTGTCATCTCATGTGCCTGAAGCAAACTTCAGCTTGCACACAGCATACCTGTAAACACATCCCAAGTAATCGACGACTGGAGCAATTGTGATCGGTCTGAAAAAGTCTCCCGTCTCAGCACAAACAGTGTTAAATCATCGGCAATGAGTCCTATCTTCATATAAGGTGCGATTTCAGAGTCGACCAGCAGATCTCGGCTTCGATAATCCTCCTGCCGAAAATGGCTGTTGTTCCTCGTCTCACACTCTATAAAGAAGCTGAATACCACTCTGGAACGTGTTCTTTGAAAGTATGTAGTCTCAAAAAACCCTGGCAGTAGAGGCAGATCTCCAGTGACACAAGATAGTATAAATGCATTTTTTGGACATTGACAAATATTACAAAATCCCTCAAGTCTTCTGAATTCTCATCATAAGTGAAAGAAGAAACAATTTTTTTGATATTCCCTTGGAACAATATAGCAAAGAAATTTCTTGGACCTTGTGTGAAAAGGTCAAATAGACAAATCTAAAACCAAATGTTTGTAGATGGTAGGATTTTAGGATCATTTGAAAGACAAGAGCCGAGAATTTTAATCAAATGATTCACATGAATTTTTCAAAAAGTAAATAGTAAAGGGTGGCCGTACAACATGAGGAATTATCAAAATGAACTATGTACAAATAATGCTTGAGGCTGAGCTCGAAGCAAAAGGAATTAAGCTTGATTCGAGTTGTAAGGGTGAAACTGTTGTTCTATTTAACTCCTTTGACACAAACTATATTACATGACAGTTGAGGGTTCAAAGGATTTCGTTCTATCACACTCAAAGCTTTGAACTCAACAAGGAATGTTGTACAAAGTAAATACAAATCGATCGATCACTTTTACAAGTTGGTTGTGAAGAATTTATAAAATGAACGAAGAAGATGTAAAACCAAGTTTGCAATCAAATCAAAACGAAAGCCAAACTCACGATGAAATCAAATCACCTGAACCTGAACCTGAACCTCAATCTCAGTCTGAACCTCAACCTCAACCTCAAAGTCAATCGAATCCAACTCCAACTCAAGAAGAAAACGCAAATGATGATGAAGACTCATTAGCTAATTTAACATGTTCAATCTGTCTTGGATCTCCTTCACCTTTAGTAGTAACTCAGTCCGTGACACGTTTTTTTTTGGTTATTAAACTGGAAAAACCGCAAAAAAAAAGATATCTGATCTTTTTTCCTGTTCGTTTCTTTTAGATGTGGTCATGTAGCCTGTGGTGGATGTTTAGCAGCCTCTTTGGCTTCGCAACCTAGACCTATGTTAGGTTTTGAACCCCAAGCAGGAACAGAGAATAATGGAAAGTAAATATCTATCGTTTTACCATTCAAATACTTTGAAAAAAAAGATGTATCTTTACTGATATTCTTTGGGGTTTTCAAGGTGTCCTGTTTGTCGTACGATGTTGGTTGGTGGATGGGGTACTTCTATGAGAGGTGCGATTTTGAAGATGGGAACTGGTACTACATGAATGATAGATGAAAACTTTATGTATCTTATATCGATTATTGTTAACCTTTTCATTGCTCATGATTTGGATTATTATCTCTTTATTGGAATCTGGTATCTGCACTCCTCTTCATTGGCGGTCGCGGTCCTCTGCTGGTTGAGCCTATGGTTATCTAAGACCAGGTAAGATCGGGGCACTTCTCATTTGATTAAAATAACCCATAGCAGACCTGTTAATAGTGATTATTCCGCGTCTACAACAGCATTTCAAAATTAATCCCATATCCAGAAATGAAGACAATATATACTTATAACAAAATCTCGATGGAGGATTGTTTTGGTGAAATAAAGGAAATAAGATATAGTGATTTTTGATGAGACTCTCGGCAAATTAGAACCTATCCTGTCATAACGTGTCCCACAATATAAACCAAGAGAAGGAAACCAGAAATGGAGAGCAGAAATCGAAGTAAATATCAAGAGCCTTGAGGTAACTTTGTGATTCTAGTGTCATCTTTTTTACAAAAACAGATTGTACCAGTATCTGATGCCTCTGCTTTATAACTCTTCCTACAGACAGTTTGTTGTTTTAAATCTTTGCTGCAATCTAACCAAGGAGTGGCACTCTTAAGAATCAGAAGATGAGGTTTTGGCACTTATGGAAACCTGCTTGCATGGTTTTTCAATTTCTTGCTCAAGTGCACTCCAAAATACAGTACAAAGATACATGAGACTTTTCTCATTAGGGCTGAAAACTCTCAGAAGGCATCAGTCAAGGATAATACATGCCACTGACCCTCATTGACACCCACCTGGACATCACAGCCATCCCTTTTTCTTACTCTGATAGTTCTTATATCAACTCAGCTACCAAAATAAAGATTGACAACTTGATTTCAGCCTGGGGGTGGTACCTGATAGTTTGCTTTGGGCTTTGCAAGCTTAATCCATTGCAAAGGCTGGTTGAAGAACGAATTGAGGGGGATGAGGGCACTGAAATTTGAGGATTCAAAATGGGACACCAATTTTCAGAACCCCACTCAGCTGCTACAACTGAGGAAGAACATATTGCAGTGCCAGAGCAGTGAGGAATGTTAGCCATGAGCCCTGATCTTGGTACCAAGGGGCTTAATATAAAAGAAAAAATTGATAAAAACTGTAATTACAACTCATGGTTCAGTATCAAGTAAGGCTGTGACCAGACCCTGGAAGTTCAGTGCCGGCCACAGGGCCAAGTCTGGCCATTTATGTGGTGGGCACAGCGCAAAAGGTAGGCCTTTAGGGCCTGCCCCATGGGCAGGCCCTTTTAGCCCAAATTTGGGGTAGCACGCCCAAGTTAGGCTTAGGCAAATTGCTCTCAGCTGTTGCGTAAAATGGGTGCCACAGGTGGAAAATTTTGCCCTCAGTTTCCAGATTTCCCACTCAAAATCCTTTAAAAGAGTCCCAAAACTACAGTAACACCACATACGCTTCTGCATCATGCCCAAAGTCAAACCTTCTGTGTCAAGGTCAGCTGAATGGATCCAACCCACCACTGGATTTGGCAAGCAATGGACGGGGTTTTTGATGTCTTCCAACACCAACAGTTCAACAAACCGCCACCACGCTCAATGTCAGCACTGTAAAGCTACAATGGATGGAAAGCCATGTAGAATAGCTGATCATGTAATCAATTCTACAATACTGCAACTCAGAGGGTCCATTTTGTATACCTGCAAAAAGTGAGTTGTGATTTCTCATTTCTAAACATCACATAATAAACCAATCAATCTTGATTGATGTTTAGATTCTTCTGCAACAAGTTATTGGTGAAAAGTACCAGCTAATCCACAGCCTCAAGAGCTCAAATTGTTTGCCATCAAGCTCTTAGAAATTGTACCCCACACTGCGGGTGTTGAAAGCCTCTTTTTGCGGATGGGTTCTCAAAAGACAAAGTTGCACCCTTGTATGAATGTCTCAACATTGAAGATGATGTCTCAAATTGAGATGGATATTGAATCCGAGCAACCAAATTGTGAGCCCAGACCAACCAATAACAGAAATCAAACTGCTGCTAATGATGAAACACAAGATTTAGATCCTCAATTTGAAAATGTTGATCAAGTTCAAGAGTTTGAAAATGGAATTCATGGCAAAGATGAGGTGGATCAGGGAGAAGTACAAGAGGATACTACTGAGAGTGGTTTTATAGACACCCTCTTTGATTTAACATTAATTAGAGTTGAAGCAGAACAACCTGTCACTATTGTTTTAGATGAGGGATCTGAGAATGAAGA